AAGATAGTGCTGCCCAACGAAGCGAATGGCCAGAACAGGAGCAACACGAGGACTGTCCCTTCGGATGATGATGACCGAACGGCCCTTTTTACTTACCGCTCAGCCTTCAAACTGAGGTAACTTCTTAGATTTGTGCGACGGACTGGCACAAAGGAAAGTACCCCACAGTGACAGCAGAATGTAGTTTTCAGATTGAGCCTAGGGAAATTCATAACGGCAAAAAATTCTGAGCCCTGCATATCTTCGAAACTAGTCCTGAACAAGAAAGCTCGCAGAGAATTGATATACAGAAGTAGAACGATTAAATTATCCTGCAAACACATAGAGATCTACCCTGCAAACGGGCTCTCCGCACCTGACCGCATATTCCTGGCCCTGTTACATCTACGTCTACTCTCAAGAACTTCCCGTATACTATTCCAGTTAATTATGAATTTCAACATCGTATATCCATAACGTGACATGAACATTGACGTAAACAAACTCTGTATCATGCTTCTAAAAATTGCATAAGAAACCAAAAAACGCTTTTCAATTAACAGGAATAATTTACTTATCCGATATCTTTCGCCGACTAAACAATAATAACCCGCTCCCCCCTTCAAATTCAAAACGCGTTCATATCAGCACTGCATTTTAAAGGCAAGTCGGCACAGAATGGTTTTCTACTATAGCCCACAAAATCGCTAACTAGTAAGAAGAGGGCAAGGGGAAGGCCGCTGTCAGTGGGGGAAATGCAAGCGAACAGAAACGACGTGAAACCGACCACCGCCTCAAAAATCCCGCGAAAGAAAAAGCTTCGTTCTCAGTGACTTGTAAATCCGATTTCGAGACGCGACGTTTCCCCGGTTGGACAATTCTTACCAATCACCAGCATAACCCGAAGATACGAGGAACTGCAATTTGTTACCCATGTGATGACACTGCAGCATCACAGAGAGCAACCGCTTCATACCAATCCCCTTCGCTTCATAATTTGCTTAGCAAATGAATGAATACGAGCGTCAGGAACGGTCGTCCATTTGTGGGCGGGCGGGCGTGGCGGGCGTTTGGGACGTAAAGTTGTGGCTTGATAGGGCCCTTATAAGGGCACCTTCCTCGGGGAAACCGCTATGCAGCCCAGGGTCGCGGAATTCTATCCTGCCAGGAGTATTGATCCTAGTTGCTTTGGGAGATTTATCGTGCCAACTGCCTTTAAGATTTTAAGGCGGAATGAGCAAGACTGAAGTAATCTACTGCTCATACAGCGTGATAAAGTGGGTGCAAAGCGGGAAATAAACTAGTGAATAAGAGTCAAACCGCAATCTGCCAGAAATGCAGAGCAACCGGATACTTGAACGATATGATTATTAGAACAGGGAGGATTAGTGTATTCGTAGGAGGAATTATCGAGAGGCTTCTCTTGCTGATCCTTCGGGCGGCGCGCTGTGCTCAGCTGTTCGTTTATAAACAAAAACAAATGCAAACGGCTTTTCCTGCAGATGGACCCCCTACTGTGTAAATTCAAAGCGTTCAGAGGAGGGAATCCCCTGCATTTCCAAGCAATGAACATTTTGACAGGACAGCCGCAGGCAGAAGAAGAGCCATGGATCACAGAGCAAAGTTCCCGGAGCCGACTGTTTCTTTGGGCTGCGCCGTGCATGAAACCTTTTTTCTGAAAAACGGAATGCGGTCATCGTTATCTGTCATGCTACATCATCCAGATGGATGGTCGCCGCAAGCGATCCTAGGAGAATGGTAGACTTTCGAGACTTGTTGGTTGTACTAGTCGGAGTCGATCCGATGTCTGATCCTTGGACTGCGCTCGTGCCGTGGAGCTACTTATGAGTCTGCCACCCCCTCCCCACCTCCTCACAATATGTTTTCATCATGGTGTAGTTATGAAGGTGCCTTTCAACAGCTGTGCGAAGCAGTCGTGAATAGGGCTTCATCAAAAAGCACACCAACAGATTCATTTTAGGAGCTACCCCGTGGGTCCATGGTAAAGATAAAGGCTCATCATTAAGGAGGTGTCTAAGGGTCTGGGTCTCAAGGGCTCATTCTGCCAGAGTGAAACTGCAATGAGATGAGAATCTTTTCTCTTAGATGGGG